GATATAATAATAATAATAATAATAATAATAATAATAATAATAATAATAATAATAATAATAATAATAATAAAACATCAATTAATCTACTTGTACAAAGTAGGTTAACAAAGTTTGTTGACAAAATCATTGTTGGCAAGATCTAGGCCGTTAATCTGTTTTGAATTCAAAAACTATTTTTGAAATGAGTAATAAAGATATTGTCAACTCATACTTTGTCAACCAACTTTGTCATCTTCCTTTGTAGGTGTAGCATCACTCATAATACATTTTATATATTCACACACATCTATGCTCACAGATATATATACACGCGCTCGCATATACATATAATGCACACATATTCGTATACATAATACATACATAGAGGCTTGTACACATAATTTACATGTTGACAATTAAAATCAATGTACCCAATAAGAATCACAATTAATATTACAAATTAGAATGTCATCATTTCTTTTCAATTCACATTTAAACCATTAAAAGTAAAATAATATAAAGATTTTCTACCTTATCACCAATCCTCCAAATTGGACTGCGACAAATCGTAATTTGGTGAATATGGCGGAGTGGGATTTATCTAAAGGCAGGTGAGATAACATCTTAATTTTTAACCTAATGACATTTAATTTAGGCATAATTTATGTTAATTAATTTTAAGACTTATTATTTATCTCATTGACTTATTTAAACCTTTTAATAATTTTTACAGATTAAAAATTTCATTATGTTTTTCAAACATTATTTTTATATTAAACTGCACACAAATACACATATTAAAAATAAAATTATTCGATATTGTATAATTAAATCTAAGCTTGTTAAAACTGTAGACAATTGAACTTCAACTAACAAACACGTCGAACGTCTAGGACGTCCAAGTGTTATTCCACTGCAAGAAGCTAAGATAGTCATGAAGAAGATGATTAATTAATTAAACAATATAGATAACATTAACACGTAATCTAAATAGACGTGATAATTACAATAAACAAGCCCGTGGTGTCACAAAATCCAAAGAAGATCGTATTCACCAATGGAAGAAATGTTGGCCTGTTTCCACAACAAAATACAATGGGAGACATTCGTAAAGTTGATCAATGGCTCTGTGTGCTTCGTTGGAAACTTGAACGCTAGAGTTACACAATGGGCTGGCAAATATTATAGTTAAATTCGTATTAAACTTCGGGAATAAACCAAAGAAAAACAATTAATGGGACAAACCTCGTTTCAGAATTCATTGAAGTTTAATTGCCAACTTGTTAATAAACAATTGCACTGAGAAGCGTTAGATAAGGGTTTATTTTTTTTTTTTTTAGGGTAATTAGCACAAAACGTCCCTACCTTTCGATGTTTTTGTGGAAAACGTCCCTACCTTTCGTTTTTTGGTGGATTACACCCTCACCTTTACCTTTTTTTTGCGCAAAACGTCCTTCCGTCAACTTTCCGTTAAGATGTTCCGTTAAATCAAAAGGCAATTAGCACAAAAGGTCCCTACCTTTCAATATTATTGTGCAAAACGTCCCTATCTTTCATTTTTTGGCATAATTAGCACAAAAGGTCCCTACCTTTCAATGTTATGGTGCAAAACGTCCCTGCCTTTCATTTTTTAGCATTTTACCCCTACCTTTCATTTTTCATTGCAAAAAAGGTCATTCTCATCCATTTTTTCAATAAAATAACGATTTTACACTCCTATTCAAATAAAACAAAAAGAAAAGATGAATTACCAACTGCAACCATAGTCTTTAAATTTTTAAAAAATTACAAAGAAATCATAAATTCTTAACCACCACTAGTTTCACAACCTATCAAGTTGCCAACTATAAATCCACATAACACCACCTTTCGGCCACCATGCCCATCGGACTCCACCACCGTAAATGTATGCTCTGCGTCATGCTTATGGTGCAAGGCATATTCATCGATTCTTTATTTTCTTATCTACTAGTGCCTGTCTCGTGCGTTGCACGAGTATCATATAAATTATGTTATTATTAGCGTGGAATGTGTAGAATTAAAAAAAAAAGTATTTTAAATTTTTGAAAATAAGAAATTATTGTTTTTATAATTGAGATGTAAATTGAAGAGAAACTAATTTCATTGAAAGCTATAAAATAAGTACAAACCACACCAAAAATATATACAATATTTTTTTATTATTCAAAATTTTATTATTAATATGA